AATGTTTTATTCGATTGTTGGGAATACTATCTCATCAAATAACGATTCTGCTTCGTTTCCTGTGAGTTTCGGTATGGCTGTGGCTATGTCGGAACATTTTAAACCCATCTTTGTCCGGTGTTTTTTGTGAATAATGTCATTAAAAGTATATACAATTTCCCATAAAGCAAGAAAATCTTTCCTGTTTGTTGTTTATGTAACTAAAGATGCACGTGTATAAAAATACATATTATGCCTTTAGTATTTGGAATCTACAATTCTAAAGTGATGAAATTAAAAATTTGAAAAGTAAATTTTTATTCATATTTTTACATTGATTAATAGAAAATGTCATTAGTAAATAAAATAATAATTTCAATTTGATTTAAAGGACACGTTTCAGATCTCCAATAATTTGAACAACAGAAATTCACAATATACAAAAAATTCAAAGTAATATTTGAATTCATCATAATTAATGTTTATTTTAAGTTTGAATAGTTTGATGGCGTCACACCATTACATGGGTGCAGTGGACACATACGATGTATACACTAAAGAGCTAAAAAAAGATATTTCAAAGTCCTAGGTATTCTGTTGTTTCTAATGACAAACATTTTTTTTTAAAAATCCCCAGAAAAACGGAAGATGCAATTTTGAATGGTCTCACAATAGTTTGTGTTGATATACAAACTTGTGAAGATACGGATAAACGTTTCATTCGATTGTTAGATTAACTTTCTGATTAAATAACAATTTTACTTCGTTTCCTGGGAGTTTTTATATGGATATCGCTATGTCGGTCTTCTGTTAACGCAGTCAGTCCAAAGTTTAATGGTTTGGCTTTAAACATGTCACACACATTTCACGAAAATACGCAAGTTTAAATGTAATTGATAGACATGTGTCTGGATTTCAGGGTTTCATTTATTTTTTGAATACTTTATGAGAAGCTCCCTACTTTGTTCGCTGACTGTTTTAAATATAAATTGTTCGTAAAAATTGCGTTAATATTTACCTTGGGATTATAGAAAATACATGATCAGTGTCTTAAAATATAAGCTGTATTTGGCAAGGGTGAAGAAAGACAAATATGGTGAGCCTCTAACTTTGTCTGTCTGTCCAGAGCCAAATGCAGTTTATACTTTAAGACACCCACCAATTATTCTACCTATTCTGCAACATTTATTGGACATCAGACTATCATAACTTCAACAATTTTTTGTTCATTCTTAGTTTATGTGACGTTGACGTTACGCTGTATTTTGCCTGATGACGTACGCCAAATAATTGCTCTTCGTGAAAATATAGTTCCAAATTTCAACAGATATGATATCGACTTTATGAATGTTAGTAAATAAACTTGTTCATTACAACACATAAAATCGCTTATTTCAACAGTTATTTATATTGCTAGACGTTTTTTGTAAGTAAATCAAGATATTGATTCTGCTAGTGCTAGTCAGCATAGTTGCAGGATAAATTCATCGAATCTTATATCCTTACCGATTACACATGTAAAGTATGCTTGAGTTATTTATATATTATCTGTAAGGTTATTTTTGCATATCTTCCGAACTGTTTCTCCATCATGCTTTCACAATCTTAATTGTCTGAAGACTTTTTCATATCATTCTTGATTTATATTTAATATGCCCCGTGGTATGTTTATAGTTAAACCTACATGTTTTAATTATATAAGTATGAGGTATTTTTTGGTATTTGAGGATTAAATTGTATGCATATGCAATTTTTTCTTTAGTGTATTAACTTGCAATCATTTTGCTGGTATTACAGGGTATCAACCTTCAGTATATGAATAGGGAAAACTTGTTGCAACATTCAAACTGAGGTGTAATACAAACAAAAGATCAAGTAAACCCTATCTTCTTCAAACATGCTTTTAAACATTGGCCAAAGATTAATCAGAAAGCCGTGAAGCAGGTGGCAAATTACATGCTTATTTGTAAAGGAGGAAGATAATGACGCAAAGTTATAAGGCTATTTGGAGCGGACACCTGGACGAGAACATTCGTGACCGGGTGATGAGGCGGGGGAATGGCATCTCTGGTGTTCTGATAAAATGAATGGACTCGAGGTCCGTATCCGCCGAACTGAAATATTCACGTAGGATTGTCCTAAAATACACACACATGTGACATGTTAAAATAGAAATTTGAAATTTAGTACAGTATAACTGCAAGCTAGGTCAAACTACATCATTCTGTCTTTTGTCTGTGATGCTTGGAGCCCAAAATGAGTTTGTCCGGAAAAAAATTGAAAGTGAAAATTTAATAGCATCTCAATTGCGTGAAAGACAATTGATGAGAAAAATTGTGGACATGTCAGTTTTGTTAAAGTCGGCATTATGTTTTGATTGATTTATCTATTTTATTTATTATGATCAAACTTATTGATTTTTTAAATATTGCAATGAAGAGTTTAAATTTATACCAACCAGGTAAATCAAGAATTAGAAACATGTCAGGCAATAAAGATATGCCGACCAAATGATTTTTTCTTTTCTTTTTATAAATGATAAATGCACAAAAAAGGGTTCGGCTAAATTGGAGCTGGTTGTATCTCATTTCAGTAGAAAACGAATCACAACGTTATTAGACAACAATTGGATGATAAGTCTCGGACCCGGTAAATAAACACATGGCGTATGAATATGTAATATAACGTTTAACATAAGACCTAATATGACGCTCTAACTCGCATGCGACACGTTTATTCTAATTCTGACAGGCCTACTTCAGTGGCGGTCTGTTAGTGTGAATTGCTACTTCACTGTAAGGGTCCGACAAATTGGTTTACAAGTTAAAAGCCCTATAATCACTTCAATAGAGTGCACTCGAAAATATGTACAGAATGAATCCACAAAGACCTACATGTAAAATGACCTATAGAATTAATTTCGTTCAATTTTAGATTCGTATATACTGCTTAAATACGCATTAAATACGCGGTTGACTAAAATCGTCACAAATACGTTTTAGTCTATCTATCAAATTTGAATTGTAACATTTGAAAGAAGCACATCAATATTTTTTCCTGTTATTTAGAAATTTCTGCATATGTAACAACATGAATTTTCACGCAGATGAGGTCAGACAGATTTTAGTTTAATATCTCCATCATATGTACTTACATTTAAAGTAAGTAATCTAGGTCTCGCTAACGTATGTATACAGTATATAATTTATTGTGAAGAAACTGCAGAAGCTGTTACTAGTAATCTGTTGCTGCCGGTTTAACAATACGGTCATTCCTATACGGTATAGACCCTTTTAGACTACAGAATGTCATGAACATGTTGTTCATTTGATACTACATTCAGAAAGAAGCGCTCATCTCAACATATCATTTGTCAATACTATATTTAAGTTAAAAATCTTTTTCTTGTCATCAATATAGCATGACGGCGGTTGTCTAACATTCACATCCCATTTGCTCAAATTTAATTGAATGTTCACGGATTTCTACGGGATGCAGGACTAAATTGCAACTTAACTGTATTTTATTCTTTTAATACAGATAATGACAGTTGCTGATTGCAGACCATTTTTGAAGAGAAATGTCGTATTTAAGTTATGACATGTAACACAATTAATATGTAATTTGATTACTAACGAATCCGATTTGATGTTTATATCAAAAGGAACATCACCATTCATTTTTTCTATGGTTTAAAAAAAAAACATTCACTAATATAGATGTAGAACAGTTTTATTCCGCAGCTGAAATGTTTGACATTAGTGAATTATTCGCTAAATTTCAACTACTATGGAACGTTCAGAAAAACGACCATGCTTTTAAATTATAGAAGAGAATATTGTTGCCGGACTTCAAAAGTAGATCGAACAGTAACATAAACTGTTCAGATAAACTGCCCTAATTACCGTAGTTTTCATTTTACCTTCTTTTGTGTTCGCACTGACGTCAGTTTTGATTAACGTTATTTTTTATTTTTGAATACCTTTTGGATTTCGTCTAGCTTTCTAGCATCAATGAAAACATTCATATCTATCGTTAATGTTAATATATATAAATATGTCTTATTTCCAACACTATTCACTGATGCCAAGAGCCTTAAGAGGAAAACCAATAAATCCGTTTGTCACCTTAAGATATCGACCAAAGCAAGATTTATCCCTCAAAAGATGTTAGTTGTATCTAAATGTTGTATCTCAATTAGTTGTATTTAAATGCTGGCTCTTAAGAACGCCCTGCTTTCTGCAGATGTAAATCAAATTGTCATTCGACAGGACTACAGATGTCTGAATCCTTAAATTTCCATCCCTGGAGCAGATGTTCAGTGTAGAATTTTAAACATTCAGTACAAATATTCCACGATGGTCAGTATAAGTATTGAAATAATGATCAGTATTGGATCTTGTTGATCTGATCATTTTACGGAAAATGTCGTTATAAATTGTCAGCAAACACCAACAGGTACCAGTCGTGATGACGTAATGTTAATGTCACTTATTATTGGCATTTGTTGTGTTAAGAAACAAAAGAAACTACGTTTTTTTAGTATTAATCTTTTATAAAACAAATCATCGTGTACTGTTCAACTCGTGCGTGTAATAAACAATAACGTTTCAGCTTTTCTCTGTTTATTTTATAAAACGTCTGTTGATGAAAACTGTCCCGCAGTAACGATAAAAACAAACACGCATAGATCTATATAAATAATAAAATAACATTAAACAAAATTTCATCTATAAATGTGTATATTTGAAGTACTGTAAATGCACCAAGGATTTAACAAAATACCACATCATATGAACTTGATATTAATTACTCAAATATTTTAATTTGTGTAAATTATACGAAACTGACACTATTCAGGTAAATTACTGAAAATTTACTTCCGATTACAAGGTTAATAAAACAAGTAATACATCGAATTCGATGACGGTTAATTGTTCAATGTCATTTTTGTGATTTCAAAATCTACACATGCTTGACCGGAAGTGTTGATAATCAACATGGATGCCACCAAGATGTAACTACCCAGATCCGGTTGTTAAGACAGTGATTTGTTGTAGAAGAACTTTTGTGACACTCTGTAACTGGGAAATGTCACCTTGTGTCTTGTTCAGTGAAGTCTGCACCCTGGACTCGAATTGCTGGACAGCCTGTTGTAGAGCGGCACTGGAGAGTGTCGTGTTAGTGGACAGAGATGGAGATGCGGTCAATGTTTTCACGTCATTGGTTAGTTTTAGGAGCTCTCCGGACTGGGCAGTTATCTGAAAATAAGAATAAACCGTACTTTTGTGTTTTTTATGTGACGTAGAATACTTCAAAATCCTTAAATTCAGTTATTTACGGTGAATTAGAAATAACCTAAGTATAATTAAAAGGTTTTAATAATGATAGAAAGAGATACAAATTCCGTCAAATTTTGCAAACCATTTATTATACCTTTGTCGTACGTAACAGTCTTGAAAGCAAAAGCGCAAAATAGATGAAAAGAAGACAAATGATTTTGCATATCAAATTCAATTAATAAGATAACTTACCTCTTTCTCTAACTTGGTGAGCTGACTGGCTAGCAGTTTTGTTTGGGAAGACATGCTTTGAACCTTGGCGTGGTCCGACACAAAATTGACGTTGTTGGTCATCAATTGGGATCCCAACTGCTGCAGTTCTTTCTCCACTTTTGTAACATTTATCTGGAGTGTAGCGACCTCCTGTGCCACCACTACCATCTGAGGTTCAATCTTCTGTTTCAGGGCGTCTAGGTCTGTCTTGACACCCGTGACCTTTGACTCTGCCGCCAAAACACGTGACATGGCGCCCTGTGTGGCGAGCCTTATGCTGTTGATTTCAGTACTCTGATTGGTTACTTGTCCAAGAAGCTGTGTGAAATTATTTGTTGACATTATTTCAAAAATGTAATTGATGATGCATTAAATAAGGACAATATGATTCTTTCATGATATCAATTAAACGGAATAAATGAATATGAATATATGCGAAACAGAAACCATAAAGATCAAGCTGAATATAAAAACACAAAGGAAGAAGTAATAAAAAAAAAGCTGTGTATATAACACAGATACCTCTAATAAAAATTGTTCAAAAACTGACTTTGACTAAAAAGTTTCTAATAGATTTTTCCCAAATTCATAACGAAATAAACAAACAATATAAGAAATGTGTTCTAAAGATGCATATGATGGCATATAAGCATATAACACTTACTTGATTTGTCTTTGCATTGAGGTTCTGGAACTGAGTTGCCTGCTGTTGGTTTTGCTTCTGGACATCCTTCTCAAGTTGCTTGTATTGTTGTTTCAGTTGGGCAATTTGTGCATTTGTTGGACCTCCTGTTCCTACAGATGCAGGCGGTGATGTCACTGCAGGGCCAGTTGATGTTTGTGCGGCGCTCGCCTGCAATGCTTTGATTTGATTTTCAAGATTGATTAACCTTTGTTCTGTTTTTGCGATATCTACCGCCTGCTGGTTGATTTGCTTCTCAATAGCTGTATCTACCTTGGATTGTTCCACGGAACCTCTCTGGAATTGGTAGGTGAGATTGAAGATCTTATTATTGATATCCTGAACAGCTTTCGTAAGAAGATCTTTTGTGTCAATGACAAGCTGATTTAGGTATTGGGAGTTACCGGCTGGAGCACTGCCACCGGCGGGCGCCACGCTGACTGACTGCTTAAGACTCTGGAACTGGCGGGTAAGGTCTTGTACTTTAGATACATAAGTAGCCGTGTCGGACTGAACCTGAGCTAGTGTACTCTGGACGATACTGTTCTGAGATACATATTGCAAACGAGTCTTGTCCAAATCCTGTTTCACCTGGTCGACTTTTTTGTCCAAGTTGCTATTCGACATTGAACAAGCACCTTTTGTGTCCGGAACTGTAAATTCATATTTACACGTGGCAGCTTGTGTAGGCAGTACTCCTTGAGGTACATATTGTCCCTGGGTCCCACCAAGAATAAGGAAAAAGGCAACCAAAACTCCGTTCATTTTGTCACTATGTATAAGGTCGTTGATACGTCCGAATGATGTGAGAGACAACTGTTGACTGCTTAGTTTGACCACCTCAACCAGGAATTTATAGTCATCCCAAAAGGCGGGGAAGTTTCATCCTTATCGCCTCCGTGTCAATACACAGGTGCAGTAGAGCTCTTCATTGGTGGACGAGTTTACAGTAAACTCCGGTGTTTGGACCGCTCTGTTTTCCACAGATAGTGTGATGAGCAATCATCTTTCTTCATCAAACTTGATAGATTTTTTTTTGCAAAATTCTAACGCGAAAACGTTTGTTTGTGCTAAATTGACAGGTTTTCAAGGTGAAAATTAAACTCTGTTTCTATGTATACCACTACTCGGCAACGTTCAAGTGTTATTTATTACAAATCTGATATTAACCAAAGAGGAACACAAACTGTATCCTCCATATAATGACTAAAATAGGACATAGTGTGTCGGTATCTAGAACATTTCGACCCAAACTACATTTCACGCATAACACAGAGATGTAAACAGATCAATGATAGCCGGTCAACAATAATAGAAACATGGTAATTAAGCCATCAATGTATCAGCGAAACAACGTAATGGACAACAGGATGAAGGTAGTCGTCTAATCTTTTACAGACGACTGCGTGGTCGGAACTTTAACCACAGCTAAACTTTCACACGCCTGACATTGCTCCAGTCACATGGACTGTGTTGACTTAATTATCTTAATTTTAAGTTTAAGTAGTCCATTTCCCGTTACAACTGAAATAATCGAGTGAATTCGATTATTTCACCTATATGAGTTTTAATATGCTTTCAATTTAACGTTGATAAACAATTACGCTGGAAAATGTAGAAAAAAAGGAATACATACAAAGCTTTGAACTCTACTGCATCCTTAGAAATCAATATTCGACAATTATTTTTAATTAAATACTAAATAATTAGTGAGAAAATCGTAACTCCGCTTGTCGTTACATCTGCATTAAATCATGGTCAAAACTTAAATAATCACAACAAAGAGTTGGACACACCACGGTCAGTCGATTATTACTAGTTTACGTTCAAAACGCAGGGTAGATGAAATTAATCTTTTTATTTCGATGATGGTCGGATATGATCTTTTCCATAAATTCCTTCAATAGTCACTTACGATATACTGACAAAACTTTGTTTTATTTCTACAGATGTGTAACGCACATTTCTTTCGGAGTTTAACTTTAGCTGTACTGTTTCAATATGGCGGTCTTCATCGAATACGACAAAGACGATTTGACAAAATGACCGTTGCGTTGACTTTGTAAACATTTTTAAGTGGTTAGATTCAAGATTGGTAAATATGTTAATGTATCAAATCACTACGAACATAACTACAATTTCTGTAACGTGTTTGGAAATAATGACTTCTTTCTGGAAACACACATTCAAACTTTGAATATGACAATATCGCCTCCATTCCATTGGATGTACTAGATATTAAAGAGAGTTCAGCTGATTCTTATGGTTTCACTTTATAAGAAGAGGCAAACAAACCTTTCGGTTGCGTTTTACAGAAAAGAAAATCTATAAAATTTGACTAATATGGTTAATGGAAAGAGTTAACAATATAATGGTTATTACACAGCAGCAGTATTTTCTTAATGATTCATCGGTCCAGGAGTGGTATTCGTGCAGCAAATGTGCATATATATATACATAAAGGAAAGCATGATCGATGCTCCCGTTTTCTTTCAATTTTTGTCATCGTTAAAATGCAAGCAGCCGGAAGTAAGAAAATAGATAGACTCTTTACCATAAGAAACAAAATTTGTGGTTTCAATTCCGTTGAATCTGTCTTCAGTGACAGTTTTAAAATCCTTTTCCTGTCATTCCCAAATAATTAGGATTGTGCCATTTTATTGGAATAAATTCTATAACAGTATTGACATCAAGCCCTTTGCCGGCGCTGAAAATTGTGCCCCGACAATCACAGCTACTGATAGAAAAATGGAAAATATATTTCTATCATTTTTTAATTCTCAGACTACCATGTAAATGGGCTGACGGTGTGTATGACCGTCTGGATTTTTCATTTGTTTAGAAATTGAACTTTGACCAAAGAAGCGTTTAACGCACCTGTTCAAATTAAAACGAGCTTTAAACAGTCGACACATGTTTCTGAAATAGTTTGATTTCGTATGAATTTCTACTTTTTTATTTTTACTTTCTTTGAAGATTTTTAAACAATTTATCATGTGTTTGTTATTCTTTGTAAAACATTAAAAAATTTCCATGTCATTCTATATTTTCCAAAATTTTCAATGAACTATATTATTAAACTCGGAGAAATAAGTAACATGTACAACAACCACGAGTTGGGTAACTATGTCTACAGCTATTCATTTCGTGTTATATAAACAAATTGATTTGTAAATATAATGTACAAGTCTCAAATTTTACATTTTATAGCTAAACAATCAACACGTTAAACAGATAAGATAGAAGTTCTTATAACAAAACCAGTTGAACATTTGAGTGTGACATTTCGATGATAACACTGTCACCATTATCAGACAAATGACCAGCGTGTGGCGTATTAGAAGTGACGTACGTAGTGTACGATATCATAATGAATTGACACGACCTTTTCGGTTTGACCATAATACTTATAAATTAAGGTAGAAAAAAGTGAGACGAGATAGTAAAACGATTATGGAAAAAGTAAAGAGGATTGTAACAAAGTACTGAATGTTATTTGGCCACACTATGTCTAACATTTATGTGTGGAAAATGTTCCGAAATATCGTTCCATTGACTATCATTCAAGAATTTTCAGTCTCCTACAGGTGGGTTTCTGCTGTAAAGGAAATAGTACATGTCTGTTTATCTAGTAACATAAAGCTACTTTTATTTTTTAAATGCCTGAACGAACAAGATCGGAATCATTGTTTTAACTAAGGTAACATATCCAATCTATAGACGAATAACAATGCAATGAGTTAAGTCCTCAATTTCAAACGCTGCAACAACTGAATGTAGATGACTATAGAACTAGTCCTCCGTCAGCTCATTCTTATTCTAGGTTTGTACACAAGCATATAAGTGAACAGCAGTAGAGTCAAACAATGCTTTCAACTGCATAATACACCTGTCCCGTAGTTCTAGGACCGGTCAGTGAGGCTAAGGGTCTAAATTTTGAAGCCTAGGAGGCGAGAAAAAGTAATCGAAAGAAAAGTCTATACGGGATGTGCAGCAGCCCCATAATTTGATTTTTTTTCATATATCAGACTATTTTAGAACAGCGTCAAGTACATGGGTATATTCTGAACCGTGCCAACTATTCGAATGAATTGTAGTGTAATTGTTGACTTGAGCATTATTAAAAAAGGCTACGAGAGTTTTCAATGAATGGTCCTCCATATCGTAAAACCACATTCGTCGATTGGACTATTGATTCCAAGGTACTTATGGATTCTGTGGACAGCTGTGATAATTGGCAAAATTAGAATATACTAATCCTGATTGGATTAAATCCGTTTGGTCTATCATTCTCAAAAGAATTTGCAGCTTGAAATCTAAAATGAAAACAAAATATAGGTCAGCCTTCCCCGATCCTGATGTTATGCATACACTAACATGACAGGTATGTTATTTTTCTTGCAGATAAGGCGTCCAATAACTTGATACAGCCCTGAAGACGTTATTACATTTCCTGTATACATTAAGAACTAGACTTGCTTGATAACGAGGGAACCTCTTTTTCCTACAATGAAACTAACATGGACCATTTCCCACCAAGCTGTATGATTTCAGTTTTCCAATATTAAATTTTCCATTTCTGGACAGCAACACACCTGCACCCCCAACCTGTTGTGTGTCCATGTTGCAGTTGATTAGATATTTAAGGGCTTGTTCCCATTCTTACGATTTAGGTGCAAGAAGTCGTCAACTCACGGACAAAATCGTAACACTGGGTTTCAGAAGATGCATGTTGAAGAAAACTATGGGAAAGATTTATAGTCGCCAGGGTGATCTCATCAAGAAATACTCTATCCCTGTACGATATGATATTTAAGAACGTGACATTACTTATTTGGACTAACCAAGGTTAACATGGCTTGTGGCTCTTCAAAACACCCGGTCTTATTCTCCTTGTAATTTTTCAGGAGTTTCCCTATAAATGTGAAACTGGATGAGTGCGATATGAATAAAAAGGTCGATATTAACGTGTTTCTTATGCAGTGTTAGTTTTTCGAAATGATAAACAATTAATGACGCTGATTGACGGGAAATTTGAAGGTGTAATTACCATAATATCGCATAATTATTCTACATTGGGCTACCCCCTTGGCAAATATGACACAATCGGTCATAAAATTTTTCGTTTTCCCCGTCAACCATTACCATAAGAGGATAATATTACCTTTATGAGATGTAGACTAATAAAATTTGTCACATCTGCTTAATGTAGACACATATATCATCCAGATGGTAAAGATTTATAAAGGTGAATAAAAGGCTGCTTCAACAAAAAAAAAGGCTAAAGTGATGACGCGACCCCTTTATGATTGCTGACGTCTTAGAATTAAAAACCAGTTCTCTACGCAAAGAACGATTATTTGTCTGAAACATAGAGGAGAAAAGAATGTCATTACACTTAACGAGGTATGTGTTACAATATAACATAAGAAAATGTTTATTTCTACTACAATAGGTGATGCTATTTAACTCCAAAGACACCAATTAATCATTCCAGGTGATGTATAGACATATCACAGGTGGTATACAACTTCAGTATGTTTTGATTTTACGATGAGCTGTGGCCGAAAGGACCCTTCGCGCATTTAAGGAAATAATTTATTGACAGCTGGTTATTATAATAATTCAATCTTTATGTGTATTTCTATTACTTTCCTCTCAAGATCATATCATGACGCCTAAACTGATGACGTAATCAAATTATGCGTGGTTACAGAATAGCACTATTCAATTCACAAATATTTCTTTCTATTGTGGTAGAAATAGGTTACAAAGAGTCTTGATTGTTATGTCTGGCATTTCTTTCACTCGCTTTATTTATTTCTGATCGTAAAAAAACACTGAAAGGAATACCTTATAGTTATCATTATTATCCAAAAGTTAAAAAACAATCTCTAATGCTAGTGTCTTTGTAGCCTTTGAAAAATACCTTGAGTGAAAGAAAAAGCAAATACCAGAACCACTCGTTATGTAACATCTATAAAAATAACAATGAACGTCTTTTCGCTTATTTGGCTAAATTGTACAAGTTCAGTTTGCCGATGGTGTGTCTGCCCAAAATATCTAAATATTGTGTTCCATACCGCCCATATTTGTATGAATAGGAGATACTATAGTAGGTGACAACGTCAATATGACCACATTTGTTAAGTTTTAGCGATGTTTTTTTGACCGATTAGATACATTTGGCTCTAAACTGTAAAATCATGAAATTGAAGATCCACTGGAGTTACCTTCTACTGTAAGTAATAAAAATAAACGAAAGATAGGTATACTTTTGGAAACCTGCTATCATATCAGGCAACAATCAAGACAAAATAAACCAATTTCAATTTAGTATTTAAACTTAAGAAGAAAACGCTTACCCATCTGGAACTCATAATATTACTACCCTTGTGTTTTTTAAATGGTCTGTGTATAACCCTTTCTTTCGTTCATATTTTGCATTGTTTGATTGTGTTAGAATTAAGAATGTGTTGACATGTATGTATTTGCTTGCTGTTTCGTAGATGCAAGAATGTAAAGTAAGCTTTAATAATACATGTTTTTGTCTTGATTTGTGATATAGTAAACTAGAACCAGAAAGAGAAAGCGCTTTCTGCTTCATCAACGACAAACGCCATTTATAAATATTGGTCAAGAACAAGGAAAACACCAATGAAACCACAAGGCACACTAAAGACCACCATATACGTCCAAATTCATATTTCAAAGGGAATTAGAATGAGATTACCATGACTGGTATTTTCATATAGCATTTTCTCCATCAAATGTAAGAAAATATCTATATAGTTGATTCGCATATTAAATGGTGTATATGAAGATATCTTAGCCTTTAACATGTTCGGTTGATTTTACTTTGATTACTTGAGTTTTAGTTATAGTTGTACGTTGATTTACAACACTACATTGAGTTTAGGTGTAACTTATTACGTTGTAATTATAATGTGTTTCTCATCAAATGTCTATTACTACGTTTTGAATTAATTTATCATTGTTGATTTGCTGTGCAAAAATATTTTAAAAAGTACTGTCCAATTACCAGAGAAGCGACTATTGATTCCAGGTGAGGGACAAATAAATGAAAATAACTATATGAACGACCGCCATGAAATGTAGAATCAATGTCTTCGACGTTGATCTTTTAACACAAAATAGAATCTAATCAACTTGTTTCTATGTAGTTTCAGATCGAAATTGATATTGTCAAGAAATATCATATATGAATTAACAACCAAAAAAGCAATGTCATGCTTAATAACTAATTTAAGAATGCGTTTTTATGGCATATACATATGTATATTGGTATTTTTTGACAATTGTTAAACGAAATAGATGGATCATATTACAGTTTACAATTTTTTCTGTAAAAAGTAACTTTATAAATGCATTATACACATTTCAATGCTTTCTCAAACTCGTCATTATATCTATTGGACTCGTATAATAAGCAATAACTTTTCAGTTTACTTCTTTTTATTTCACAAAACATGTCAGTTGGAAATGAAACTGCTCTGCAGCAATACACAAACAAGCACAAAACTATATAAATAAGAACAATTAGATTGAAGGACTCATGCAACTTAATCAACCAATGAGAAACTGGGATTCTGTTCCATCCACTTAAGTCCTTATCTTAATTGGGATCACTAAAAGATTGTGACCTCTTGTGGTATGTCAAAGAATTCTACATTGATTTGGCTATTAGTGTGTAGTTGTTTTCACTTATAAATTACCGGTCATTGACTTCTGAAGGTGATGGCAGTCCGATAGTTACGTTTCTATAAATCTAGACAGTTGTTACTTGTGATGGACTACAAATATCAACCAATGCCTTTATCTTAAATGCTAAGTAACATAAAGTGGTTGATTTAGTTGTGCGAGTCCTAAGAAAACACTAAACAAACTTTCGTATACTAGGTGTATTTTAAGCAAAGTCGATGCACTAGGGTTTAACGAAAGCAATTTGATAATGATTTATAACACAGATCACAGAGACAATTAACTAACCTGTAAGTATATGAACTCAATAAGATATCTAAAATCACGTGATTAAAAACATTTACCCACAAAGAATTCTCCTTTCGTAGGTTTAATTGCGTTATCAAAAAAATCAATTCGGATGTTAATTGTTCTCATTAATGCTGAATATGTGTTGATTTTATACTTTTAATCTCTGCGCATGTTCGACGGGAATAGTATCATCATCCTTACGACTACAACCCGGAAGTAACTACCCAGATCCGGTTGTTAAGACGGTAATCTGTTTCAGAAGAACTTGTGTGACACTCTGTAACTGGGAAATGTCGCTTTGTGTCTGGTTCAGTGAAGTCTGTACCCGAGACTCGAATTGCTGGACAGCCTGTTGTAGAGCTGCACTGGAGAGTGTCGTGTTAGCCGACAGAGACGGGGCAGCGGTCAAGGTGTTTACGTCCATGGTCAGTTTTAGGAGATCGGCGGCCTGTGATGATGTCTAAAATGAAATATATACATATTGAATTTTACGTAACCATTTGCTTTAATTCAATGGTGGTCATGGTGCTGTTGAATTGGCTAAAAATGTAATTGGCTTACCGATAGAATAATTATTCGGGTCTAATCATACTGTTAAAAATTGCGTCACGAGTATGAAATAGATTTGATTTCGAAGTGTTAAAAAACACAAAATGATGGTAAATTATAAACAATGAAAGCAGCAACACAGGCTAGCTTTTAGTGCCTTTTCGGCAGACATTATTGAATGATCCAGAAAATATCTACTAAAGAAAGCAGCGCCAGTTTTAGTACATGTACATGACGTACATTTTCAGGATATTACGAAAATACAAAAAAAATTAAAGAGGAAACTAAAATCGTGAGAAAACATTACATTTCACAATGAAAACCTAAAGCTATATATCTCTCCACAACATTATCATTATATTCAAGAAATAGTACTTACTTGAAACATTAATTTTAGTTATGTATTTACTTCAAAAAAGGTACCAGTTACAAATATATGTATGCATAAATTGAGATAATTCGATAAATGCTATGACAACATCTAACAAAATTTTAATGGCTAGACATTTTGTCAATATCCCGGTAAAGAAACGAATTCAAGAAATAAGATCAAACGTCGCAGCTTACCTCTGTCTTGAGTTTTGTGAGCTGACTGGCTAGCAGTTTTGTTTGAGCAGTGATAGACTGGACTTCGGCGTGGTCAGTCACAAAATTGACGTTGTTGGTCATCAATTGGGTTCCCAGCTGCTGGAGTTCTTTCTCCACTTTTGTAACGTTGATCTGAATTGTGGCGACCTCCTGTGCCACTACAACCATCTGGGGTTCAATCTTCTTTTTCAGGTCGTCTAGGTCTGTCTTGACACCCGTGACCTTTGACTCTGCCGCCAAAACACGAGACATGGCGCCCTGTGTGGCGAGCCTTATGGTGTTGACTTCAGTGCTTTGGTTATTTATTTGTCCAAGAAGCTAGAAGAAATCAAGCAAGTTTTTATCAATAACGAAGTATTTATTGTATTTCTTATAAAACACTAATTCTGTATACGACATGAATATTGATCAAGACTTCGTAATTATACTGCAAAATTAAAGAAAATAAATGCATTTATTTGAAATATTTGAAATTAAATCAAATGATAAAATGTCATACTGATAACTATATCAATGAATTTTGTCCCCGAAACATGACCACTTACTTGGTTTGTCTTCGCATTGAGGCTCTGGAACTCGGAGGTCTGCAGCTGGTTTTGCTGCTGGACATCCTTCTCTAGTTGCTGGTATTGTTGTTTCAGTTGCGAAAACTGCGCATTAGTTGGACCTCCTGTTCCTACTGATGCAGGCGGTGACGTCACTGCAGGGCCAGTTGATGTTTGTGCGGCGCTCGTCTGCAGGGCTTTGATTTGATTTTCAAGATTGATTAACCTTTGTTCTGTTTTTACGATATCTACCGCCTGCTGGTTGATTTGCTTCTCAATAGCTGCATCTACCTTGGATTGTTCCACGGAACCTCTCTGGAATTGGGAGGTGAGGTTGAAGATCTTATTATTAATATCCTGAACAGCTTTCGTAAGAAGATCTTTTGTGTCCATGATAAGTTTGTTCACAGCCTGGGAGTTACCAGTTCCTGCACCACCAGCACCGGCCGCCACGCTTAGCGACTGTCTAAGACTCTGGAATTGGTTGGTAAGGTCCTGTACCTTAGATACGTAGGAAGCCGTGTCGGACTGCACCTGAGCTAGTGTACTCTGGACAATACTGTTCTGAGATACATATTGCAAGCGAGTCTTGTCCAAATCCTGTCTCACCTGTTCAACCTTTTTGTCCAAGTTGCTATTCGACATTGAACAAGCACCTTTTGTGTCCGGAACTGTAAATTCATATTTACACGTTGCAGCTTGTGTAGGCTGTACCCCTTGAGGTACATATTGTCCCTGGGTCCCTCCAAGAATAAGGAAAAAGGCAACCAACACTCCGTTCATTTTCTCTCTATGTATACGGTCGCTTAGAGACAGATACGAAATATTTGTGAGTAAGCTGTCCACTGCTTACTTTATCTATCTCTACCTGGAATTTATAGTCATCCTAAAAGGCGGGGAAGTTTAATTCTTATCGCCTCCATGTCAATATAAAGGTGCAGTAGAGCTATTCATTGGTGGACAGGTTGACGGTAAAATCCGGTGTTTGGGCAACTCCTTTTTCCGCATTTAGTATAATGAGCAGACATTCGTTTTACTTTGATGTCGGGATTTAAACTAATATTCATTTTGATACATTTTCCACTTGCCAGCAGTGTTTGAATATTCAAGCAAATATTTGAAATAACGAATTTAAACTTATTTACAAATGGTGTTTAACTTATATCAGATCATTCTATTGGTGTAATTGTTCGAGAAACCTCGTCAATAATTACTTAAATGCAATAAAAGTGATTTATCTACTAAACATTGTTATGGAATACAGAATGAAATTAGTTAGTTAGTGTCTTAAAGACAGCTGCATGGTCGGAATTCTGACCGCAGGCTTAATTTCCACACGGCAGTCATTGTTTCAGTTTTATGTTACAAAATTTTATTCTCACGCGACAAGGACAAAGCTATATAAACAAACTAAAATATTGAAATATAACAAAAAAATCACAGTTGTGGTAACGTGAAATTAACTTTCATCACAAAACATTAAGCAATAGAAATCAATTTTAAGCCAAAATTTCGAAATTTTATTGAAACAAAAGCTGTTTTTTTTTTATTTTAAATGAAGTTGAAAATTTCAATAACCAAATACAGAGTCTATGTTTGAATATCGAAATAATAGCAAAGGCATACAATATTTTATTGACAACGACCAAATACAATGTTTCAGTTACAATAAACAATAAATACAATTACAAAATACATATTTATGGTTGAATGAAATCAATATTTACAATAATAATTTGAAGCTTTAGTAATTTCTTATTGTTGATAAAGAATATTAATATCTCAATGAGTACGGATAACCTATAACGATGACGTCACTGCACAACGATGGGACAATAACACCGTATTCTCAATGTACCTCTTCATGAGTTTCGTGTAAATCTTTCTTTTGTTCATGATTTTCTCACAACAATGATTTTACTCTCCATTATTATTCTTTACATGATACCAGCATTATCAAACAAGTCAATCGTAGAGGAACAATTTGTTTAATTACAGAAAATCACTGACAATGCTTGTAAGCCTTTCTAAACATCCCATACTTGCTGTATATCAGTTTATTTCATTATTAGTTCATATGGTGTCCCATATCCCATCTAGCACATACAAAATCGATTATTGGGAATATTTCAAACATACCGTGAAGAACTGATATGTCTCCAAAATAGACCTCAGTAACAAAAAGACGAGGGGAATTCCAGGTATTCTGGAAGGGCGAGCGTCTGCTGCGTCGTTAACGAAAGCTGTCATGTAAACGTTTTGGTCAATCCATGTACGTAATGCCACCTTCTCAAATGTCAACAAGTTCAACAACAATAAAATCACCAAGCATACTAATAAAAAACAACTTTGTTAATTTCTTATTGATAAATTCTAAGACATTATTTCAAGACTTCATTTTGGATTCCCATCAATGAGGGGTGGCTGTAGTAACGATATGAGATGGTAATATTTAGCTCAATAGCAGTCTTGGAACTTGACGGATGGATTATCGATCTTGTATTATAAACATCAGAAAATGCAACGGTCATACCATCAAATATATTTCGGTCGATAACATCATAAAACGCTTCACTTCCAATTCTAGAAGGAAACAAAACATATTTGTGGAATTCAATTTGATCGCATTCACTATGCTCAATGGGAATAAATATTTTTAAGTCTTTTTAAAATAATATTGTTTTCTGATGTGTGGAAACATGACATGAAGCGGTAATGGACCATGGTTCGTTTAAGTTTTTCAGTTCATGCATGTTTAGATGCTATTACACACATTTTATGTGTGAACAATAATACGGCAACTACAAAAATTATTTCTCATGCAAACTTCATAAAATACTTTCTATCGTTTTACCTATTTTCATGAAGATGACTTATTATTTCATGTGGCTATTTTACTGATTATTCATGCCGACTATTTTACCGATTATTTAAGGTGACTATTTCAGTGATTGTTCAAGGTAACTATTTCAGTGATTGTTCAAGGTAACTATTTCAGTGATTGTTCAAGGTAACTATTTCAGTGATTGTTCAAGGTAACTATTTCAGTGATTGTTCAAGGTAGCTATTTCAGTGATTGTTCAAGGTAACTATTTCAGTGATTGTTCAAGATGACTATTTCAGTGATTGTTCAAGGTGACTATTTCAGTGATTGTTCAAGGTGACTATTTCAGTGATTGTCCAAGGTGAGTATTTCAGTGATTGTTCAAGGTGACTATTTCAGTGATTGTCCAAGGTAAGTATTTTACAGAATTTTTCAGATGACAATTTCTCTCTTATTCCAAGTCGATTAATACTCGTATTATATATATAGATGAGTATTTCACTAACTATTCCAAGTGACTGTTTAATTGATCATTTCAAGTTCATGTTTTAGTGGTTGTTTCAGATGAATAGTTTCCGATTGTTGCGGGTAAATACCTTACCTATTATTATTAAATGTTTGGCTATTTTACTAATTTAGATTTATGTGATGTCAGTTATGAAAAGTTAATTTAATTGGTATTGAAATATAACTACTTTCTGGATGTGAGAATATGTACTACACACCTACATATACCTTCACTGACCCACTTACAACACACCTACTTCACGTGTTCGGTACAGGTGTCATAACAGGACGTCTGGAGTCAAGATGACGGAGAAAGGTTGGCTGGGGGCGATCAGGAAGATGATATAGACGTTGTTTGTTCCCCAGGTTTGACCAATTAGTCTGATAAGAGTTGTGAAACAGATAGATGTCCATTCTGTTCACGTTTCGTTTATGCGAAGTTTTTGACACTTTTATAATCCCACCCCTACTTACCAGATTATTCAAATTACTATCAATCTGTCCAATATGGATATCAATTCGCACGTCCCACACAATAAAATATACCTTTTTTAAAGATGTTTATTGAAAAAAACAAAAACAGAAACATAAAAGAAAAAAATAAGAAAATACCTACATGTCAACATAATCGGTCCAAACTCAAATTCATTAGAACTAGGGCAAAATATGAACAAAGTAAAAGCAAAAAAGCCAAATTTACACGAATATTCCTGAAAAAGTAAAAGTAGAATAAGACCAATTGTTCCTGAAGAATAAGCGTCTTCTGCTACATAGACAACATCCGCCATGTTAACCTTGGTCAAACCAAGTAAGTAATGTCACTTACTCAAGTGATATGCTATTTTCTTGTTTTTTATTGCCTCCACTTTCTCCAGTTATATTTCTAGATAAAATGTGCAGTTTAGAAAGTTCTTTTATTAAAATAGTCACGATTAAAGTTGTTACACCTATGTGACCAAGGGGTCTTACTACCACTCTTAGTGTTGTCAAAAATGGAAAAGATAAAATGTGAATCTTAAAGAAATCAAAAGAACGTTTGATTTACCTCGAACATCCATTTTCTTAGAAGATAATAACGATAATATCAATACTTAACATTTCACAGTACCCCTAGTGAAAAACACATCTCAAGCCAAAATTTATTTTATTGTAGCTAAAATATTTAGAATGTTGAAATTTCTTATATTATTTTCGTTGAGTTTGTTGGTAATCCCTCAAAGTGCTTCTGGCATACTAAAGTTTCAGTTCTTAATTTAAGGTTTGTCTGTAGTTTCAATGTCTGTCAATAACCAGAAATTAATTGACTATTATACATTGGATACAATATCAAACATGTAAATAAAACTTTGAACATACAAAAGTGATTTTTTTAATTTCTTTTTTTATGTTTTGATGGTAATACCCTTTACTCTCTTAGTCCATCTACCTGTTTTTATCAGAGAAAGCAATATGTTAGGACGTGTTCAAGTATTCAAACAAACGAGTTACGAGGCACTTTCTTTAAGTACAAGAAGGTCAGTGATATCGACAACGAAATTACAGCAGGGTAGCTTATTTCATCTCTAAGGTATTAAGTCAGTTACACTAACATTTTTAGATGAACCCAACATGTGATTCAAAAACATGATATTACCATTTAAATTCAATATTTGAGAACGATCGACCTATAACATAAGAAACAAAATAACAAGAAAAACGGCAATATGTTCCTAAAACGCCGGTTTTGTTTGTTTATTTGTTTGTATGTTTATCGATTTATTTATCGTTTATTAATTTTTTCAGATTATCTAATTAACATGAAAAAGCAGTTTGGAAAATTCTGAATTTTTTCTTAATTTGTGAAAGCATGAAGTCAAATGAAAATTTTAAAATTCTTAAAAAGAAACAAAATATGAGAATAACAGATGTAGTGAACTATCAGAATACAATGACTAAACAGGTTAGAAATATAAATAGTAACAATAAGATATAAATTTTACATGAGTACCTGTGTTCCACAACGAAGCAAAATAAACTTGGTATTTTCTGTAAAGAGTCAAGGAAAAATATGAATAATATTGAGTGTCAGTATGGGATATTCTGTTCTGTGACCTTCATTGATAAAGCCTCTCTCGATGCTCCCTCCTCCAATGAGAGTTTTAAGCTGTCGTATTTTGACAACATGACCATTTCGAGATTTTCAAGTCCCGTTTGTAAATCAGTTATAACTAAAATTAGTTTTAAATCGTTGTATTTTCACGTAGAAGAATTTTCTTACGTCAGAGACACGTCAACTTCATGGAAACATACATTTAAAATGATCTTATGCTTTGTTTAATCCGCTGTCTCATAAAAAATATACCCTTCAGTTAACTTTTTTGTGTTGATAAGATTAATTCCAGCTTTTCCTGGAGTTTGTTGCTGTCCTTTGTAAGCACCTGGATATTCTGGTTGCGAGGGACTTGCACCTCAC